ATTTTTTCTGAGTGACTACATGGGGTGTCCTGCTATCACCCTGGAGTGAGATGGATCTATGATACTGGACAGTATTTGTTTTATTCTCATCTAAAAACAGGGATGATAGCTCATATATGAGACTTCAAAGGTATTTTATTTTGAAACTCTACATCAGAATGTCCTGATTTTTTCTGAGTGACTAGATGGGATGTCCTGCTATCACCCTGAAGTGAAATGAGTCTTTGATACTGGACAGTTTTTGTTTTATTCTCATCTAAACACAGAGGGATGATTTTTTTTGACTCTACCGTAATGCATAGGATATTCGCGCACCGCAATATCACGTGAGGGCTGGCTTGACTAGGTTTTCCCGAGTGGAGGCTGGCTTGACCGCAGTTAGTTTAGCATACTCAGCCCGACTCCGCCTGGTTGTACCTGGCCCTAGAACCACGATTTTATGGGGCCATTACATCACCAGAAGTCACAATTTAAGGGGTCATTTCTCCCAAAAAAAAAGGTTTTTACTCACTATATCAACAGCCCCACCAAAAATATTTTCCACCAGCCGCCACTGACCGGACGCAAGAGAGAGAGATCAGCAGCTCTGCCTGCTATGAGGGACCGGTGAGCGGAGCAAAGCACACCTTTAGACCTAACACACTTAGCTATGGCACTGTCGTATACATTGAATTATTCCATTTGATAATATGTAATCAATTTAGGCATCCCTCACAAAAAACTAAAATATTCATAACTCGAATACCTGAATAATTTTGAATATTCGACTATTCGATGAATCGTTCCCATCCCTAGTTTATAGTAATGTATAGCTTCAAATAAAAATTAAGTTAAATTACATTTCCCTCCAATTGAAACCAATAAATAGCAAAACAAGAGAAACTGTTAAAGAATAGATTAGATTATAGATATATGTTCTCTTAACTGTTCCAGATCTGAATCTATATATAATCCTGTGTCTCTGACCTTGTGTGCGGTGCGAGCGGATGATGCTCATGGAGCTGATCCAGTCGGGGGAGATCTTGGACACCAGAGAGTACAGCACCTCCAGGCTGGTGGCGTCCACCACAAGGATTTCTGGGTAGTGGCCATTGCAAAGCAGACGTCCCTCTTTCTCAGTGCCGATGGTGAACTGATAGAACTACAGAAATACAGAACAGGAGACAGAAATATGAGGAGAGATGGGAACAGGAGGAAGTCAAATCCCACCCATCCCTTTCCTGGGTCAACTTGAATATGAAATATTGAATGGATGTGTATAATTACATGGACAGTAACTTCATATTGACTATAAAACTGAAAATAGGATTTCAATGAAATAACCACTGAATGAAAAGAGAAAGTAAGAGTAGTTGGTTTGATAGGACTTTGTTGTAATGCTGTGGAAATGAATGTTTGTTCAAATGAAGTCAACATTTGAGATACTTTATCACAATGTTGCTCATTTTTGAGTGATGATATGAGACTAGGCCAGTACTGGAATAGCATCTTTGATATTCATTTCAAGTCCTACCTGTATGCCAGTGTGAGCACAGGCCAGCTTGGTGAACTCAATACAGCGTCCATCGTTCACATCCCATAGACACATCTCCCTGGAAACAGACAAAGAGTTAGTTCAACATAAATGAGTAGGAAATGACACGTGTGTCTGGTGATCAACAATAATATTTAGCACATTTAAATAAACTAGTGTAATGCCCTTCATTATGCCACAAAGTAAGTCTATGGAGGCATTTACAGTAGCAATTCTACAGTCTACAATAAAGTCAAAGCCACATAAAATTATAATTGTTTGTGTAATAAAAGCCTGAACTCACCCGTTCTCTGATGCGCTGACGATGTACTGTTTGTCACTGCATGCACTGGCTTTAGCCAGACAGGTGATGGAGGCTGTGTGACCAAACAGCATGGCCCGGGGACAAATCTGAAGAAGAAAAAACATAAGAAAAAAATATATAACGGGTAATAAAAAAGATAAAGATACACAGAGGTGGACCAACGCACACACCACCACCTCCGCCCTGATCAGTACCTCCAGCTCAGGCGTCATGTCCCAGATGCAGATCTGTCCGTCGTGGCAGCCGGTGATGATGGTGCTGAAGTTGTCCATCACCAGCAGGCTGCTGATGCAGTGGGTGGGAGCGGTGCGGCCCCATAGCACTATGGGTAGAACCAAGTTGTTCCCCGACATAATGCAGATGTTTCTGGAAGGAGAGAGGGACACAGAGGGACGAAATGAGACGAGCCAATTATCTTGTTGAATTGCCCGCATAAGGATTGATAGACAAAAAGATACAACTTCACTCTGGGCAACACCAAGCCAAAACAAAAGGGCTCATATCACTATTTAGGGGATTAATTAATGCATCATAATTTATATCTATCTATACTTATGCATATTTATATATTTCCAAACCATACTCTACCCTGCTGTTTATATATCTTATTTATTTTGATCATGCAGCACATCATGCACTTTTATTCAGGGACATTAATTGTACACAGCTTCTAGAAAATGCCTCTACTCTTTTTCTTTCTAGTTTGTATGTAATACGTTTGTTTGTTTGTTTGTTTGTTTGTATGTATAGTTCTTAATATGTATATGTGGAGAGCTGTCCAAATGTCATTGTACAGTGCAACTGCATGTTATACTGTACATATGAGAATAAAATATCTTGAATCTTGAAAGCAAGGGTTAATTGTCTCTGCTATTGTCTTGATCTTGTCCTCTATGAGCTCATTGCTTGATGCTATTCTCCCTGTTTACATCCATCCCAATCAAGCATACGGATTGGAATAGAATAGCGTTACACCATGAATGAGTCACGACTAGTCACTGTCACCAGATGTGATCTTTTGACCACACTCTTCAACACGCATTTAATCAAAACATCATCAGTGTGTGTGTTTTCCTACATTTACATAATTAACCTTGGCGTTGTATGCATGTTTGCAGACTGTGCAGCAGCGTGCAGAGTAACAGGGGACACATTTAATGGAGTCAGGTGCAGGTCACTGATACCAGGTAGAAATTGAGTAGCAGCACGAGATTATGCAGAAAAATTAAGCTAAAATCGTAATATCATGGATGAGGACTGATTAACGGTGCAGTGATCTATGAGGCGCTAACGCTATACCTGCAATGTCGCCACTTCCGGGGTAACGAAACGGCTAACTGAACCAAAACAGGATGTTGAAAACACTTTATATACGTACCACAACTAAATTACTCCTGGAACATGTCCTTGTAATTGAAGGCTTATCGAAGAACGTCTCCCTCCTTGGCAAAATGAAATTGAAATTGTCCTTCTTATCGTCTTGTTTAGCTCCGATCTGTTTGGTCAGCTGATCACCTGACAACCAGAGCCACATCCGGTTTTGTGTTTTCAAAATAAAATTATGCAGCTTTCGTTTTCCGAGGAGCACACGACACGGTTCATCGTTACATAAATCAACCTATAGCACAGGGGTACTCAAACTTTTTTCTTAAAGGTCCACTTGTGAATCTTATACAAGGTGAACGGTCCGGATCAATGCCAGTAAAATCCCCCC